CTTGGAGAGTAGGTCCAAAAAAAGAGTAAATGAACTGCAGTCAAATCCTGGCCCTCACGGGATGCACACGCCTTGCTGCCCTCACAAGACTGGGGAAGTCTACAGACACTGCAATAATAAACAAACAGAGGGTGCACTGGCCTAGTGCATTATCCTTTAAAAATTAACTTTAATGTATAAAATGGTAAGTATTATACTCACAAGTGGATAAAAGTATATGTTCATCCCATGAAAGCAACACAAAGCAATCCACAAATCATAAGGATGTAACAGAACGATGGAAACTCAACAGGCTGACGCGTTTCGAAGACTTATCCTCTTCCTCAGAGCCCACAAGATTGCTGGCTGCTTCCAGACTGATATAAGGCGCATGATGTTAGACACACCAATCAGTCTGGGGGTGTTTCCAGACCACCCATGGGTGGGGATTAACCCTGTGTATCCCATAACATAAAATAAAATAAAATGAAATGACATGACGGTTCCTATGGGTATTTCTCTCGCAGACTGTGAGGAGCAAGCATAGCCCCAAAACTCAGTCACTCTCAGATTGGATGGTGGTATTATTGTTTTGGGGGGTGGTCTGGGTTCCCCTAGGGTCCCATAAGCAAGGGACCCAGTTTGCTCTGGACTAACATCATGAGTTGTCATGGTGTGGGCAGGCTAGCCTCCAGCATCATAGCAACCAATGATTCTCTAGGCCCAGGATGCCTGTCATCATTGATGGCTATGTAGATGGTGACTGCCTTACCCTCAACAATGCAAAGCATGACTCTGAGCCAGGAAGGGAGGCATGCATGGCCACCCCCTCATTCAGGACAAGAAGGAATTTCACCTCCTCCAGACCTGCTTCACCTTCTGCCCTCTGCTGCTCAGCTGAAGCCAAAACGGTAGGGCCCTAATGCGAAGAGGGGTTGGGGGCTCTGTGACTGCACTGTGTGATTGGGGTTCTGTGTAATTGGGAGCTGTGTAATGGGGGGCTCTATGGTGATCAGGGGACTCTTATGTGGTGGGGAGGCTCTGATGTGATGGGAACCCATGTATAGGGATTTTTGATGTGATGGGTGCTATGATATACTCTGCTGTGATGGGGAAACCTCTGAAGTGAAGGGAAGCTTCTGATGTAATTTCATCAAACAGTTATGTGCATTGTTCCATTGTTAATTTTTTTACATTTTATACTGATGTACTGCCCACTCCTTCCTCCTTCCTCCCTCCCACCTTTATGTGATCGCTGAATCAAATAAATGTCCTTTTTACTTACCTTAAGCCAGTCACATGATACCACAGCCCCAAGTTTTCTCTTCTGTTTACTGTTTTCTCTTCTGTTTACTTCCCGCTTTTGTGGCTTTAAACCATTTAGCTACCGAACTGAAAATGTATCTTCTATTGGTCATTTCACATATACAGTGGAGAAAATAATTATTTGATCCCCTTCAGATTTGTAAGTTTGCCCACTTACAAACAAATGAAGGGTCTATAATTTTTTTTATCATAGGTGTATTTTAAATGATAGAGACAGAATATCAACCAAAAATCCAGAAAAAAGTCATGATACAAATGTCATAAATTGAGTTGCAGATCAGTGAGTAAAATAAGCATTTAATCCCCTTCCAACCAACAATAATTCTGGCTCCTATAGACTGGCTATGTGTTCATGTGGTACACAGATTAGTCTTCTCAATTTAAGAAGGCGCTCCTAACGACAACTCATTATATGTATAAAAGACACCTGTCCATATAATCTTTTTTTTTTGGGCACCGCCATGCAAGACCAAAGAGCTTTCAAAGGACATCAGAGACAAGATTGTTGTCAGGAGCCGCCGCGATACACGGCTCGGCGCAGGCGCAGTGTGCCCGTTCACGCTGGTGTACGGGCAATAGTTCCCGGAGACGGAACCCCCGCATGTGCAGTCGGAGCCGCGGGTGCGCGCCTGGCACCAATGACAGCGCAGGGCGCGGTATTTAAATCCGCCCTGCGCTGACATGAATTGTCATTTGATCTCTCTGTGTTCCTGATCCTGCATACTCGTGATTCTTGATTATTGCTGACACGGATTGTCCCTGACTGTGCTGTACTCTCCTGCTCTGACCCCTGGCTTGCCTGACCTCCCTCCTGGATGCCCCCTATTGGATCTGATCTTCTGTTGCTGACCTGGTGTGTGACCCGACAATTCTCTGCCCGCTGCTTTGTACCACACTGCTCCCACGGCTACCGACTCGGCTTGTCTGACCACGCTCCTGCTCATCGATCCATCCATCCACCTTGCTCTGGCATATCCGCCTCTTTACATCAGGCTCTCACCCTGCAGATACCTCTGGCGGATCCCTCTACCACGGGTAGGTGTACTCAGAGGCTGCGACCTGGTCTCGCTTCGCTCCAAGTCCATCCCCACCATCAGGGGCCCTGGTGAACAAGCAGACCGGGACTTAGACTCCGCGCTCTGGGGAATCCTAACCAGTGGGTTGCTAGAGGTACCGCCAGGCGGTTCCTTACAATTGTAGACCTGTACAAGGCTGGAATGGGCTACAAGACCATCAGCAAGAAGCTTGGTGGGAAAGAGACAACTGTTGGAGCAATTATTTACAAATGGAAGAAATACACAAAATAACCAATCTCCCTCGGTCTGGGGCTCCATGCAAGATTTCACCTCATGGGGTAAGAATGATCATGAAAAAAGTGAGGGATCAGCCCAGAACTATACGGGAGAAGCTTGTGAATGATCTCAAGGCAGTTGGGATCACAGTCACCAAACAAACCATTGCTAACACAATACGCTGCCATGGATTGAAATCCTGCAGCGCCCGCGAGGTCCCCCTCCAGAAGAAGGCAAATGCACAGGCCTGTCTGAAGTTTGCCAATGAAAATCTAAATTATTCAGAGAAGGATTGCGAGAAAGTGCTGTGGTCAGATGGGACCAAAATTGAGCTTTTAGGCATTAACTAGACTCGCCGTGTTTGGAGGAAGAAAAATGCTGAGTATGACCACTGAGGATGGGTCTTTCAGTATGGCAATGACCCAAAACATACCGTTACGGCAACAAAGAAGTGGCTCAAGAAGAAGCACATTAAGGTCATGGAGTGGCCTAGCCAGTCTCCAGACCTTAATCCTATAGAAAATTTATGGAGGGAGCTGAAACTTTGAGTTGCCAGGCGACAGCCAAGAAACCTTAAGGATTTAGAGAAGATCAGTAAAGAAGAGTGGACCAAAATCCCTCCTGAGATGTGTGCAAACCTGGCAACCAACTCTAAGAAACGTCTTACCTCTGTGCCTTCTGACAAGGGTTTCTCTACCAAGTGCTAAGTCATGTTTTGCTTGGAGATCAAATACTTATTTTACTCACTGAATTGCAGCTCAATATACAACGTTTGTATCATGTGTTTTTTCTGTTTTTTTTTGGTTGATATTCTGTCTCTATCCTTTAAAATACACCTATGATACAAATTATAGACCCTTCATTTCTTTGTAAGTGGGCAAACTTACAAAATCTGCAGGGGATCAAATAATTATTTTCCCCACTGTAATGTATCCTGTGTGCACCCAGTTTGAGACGTGTATACTGTAGTTACCTGTGCTGATTACCTTGATTTATAATGCCATCCATTCCATGTAAGATGCAGAACAATCTTCACTTTCTTTGTTTTCACATATTTTTCAGGAAAATAGCGTGATCCTTATTACCCCTAGACACAGTAACTACAAAAATGTCATGCTCTGGGGAGCATTGGATATTCATACATATTGTGTGTTTGTTTTTTTTTTTTACATATTTCTAGTCTTTTGTTTATTTAGATTATGCACGTAAACCATTATCTTATCAGTATATATAGAAAGCATGTTGGCGCTATTGCACTATGCCTGATTCAGATTTCTAAGTGTGCAAGTCGGTGAGTAGAATTACACTTTCAGGTACTATTTGAATTATATTTATATGATTGCATTTCTACATAACCGCAACTCAGAAGAATTCCTGCAACCACTTGGTAGCCAGTTAAAAATGCACTAAACAGAGCATTTTCTCAGGATAGGTTTCAAGATGGTGATAAGTGCGGACCATGCATTGTTGGAAGCCAATGTGATGGGGTTACAATGCAGGAGCAAAGGGACTTAGCGTTGTCACCCTTAACAAAAAGTGATTAAGGAAGGGCCTTCATTGCAGGATTCTCAGGGGTTCTTTTACTGCTAATTGCTGATTTGAAAAGAGTGAAAATTACTTTTAAATATGACATTAACATGTTAAAATCTATTATGATATTTTAGTGATTGGGTTTACATCTACTGTAACTTTTTTTTTCAGTTTATTGATTTTTTTTTTAGGTGGTTGAGTTAGTTTGAAATTGGCTTAATGTCAAAATGTGCTTTGCTTGGATCCAAGTTTATGTGTTTGAGTTTACGCAAGGACCAGGGCTTGTGGTGAGGCTCCATAGCCAAACCATTATAGTAGCCCCCAGTAATCTTCATCTGAAAGACTATTTCTCTAGTGATGCACCAAAAAGTTATCATAGCATTCGTATAGAGCAGAAATTCTCAGTCAGGGTTCCTCTAGAGGTTACTAGGGGCTCCTTGAGCTGGGGCTGATTGACCATCCATTTGATGGTGCCTGTATAGTTGCAGGTCCAATGCCATTTGGCAGAGTCAGTGGAATGATACCTATGATATTTTTAGCGGTTGGTAAGTGTGGTATTCTGACCACCAATATAAGGAGCTTTTTTCCCATTGACCACCAATGTCAGGGACATTCTTTTCAATGACTACCAATGTAAGAGGCATTCTTCCCAATGACCACCAATGTAAGGAGAATTCTTCCCAACGATCCTTAAAATAAGAGGCATTTTTTCCACTGATCCCCAGTGTAATGAGCATTGTTCCCAATGGCCATCATTGTAAGGAGCATTCTTCCCACTGACCATCAGTGTAAGGTGCATTCTTCCAATGATCACCAATGTAGGGGGCATTTTCCCACTGACAACCAATGTAAAGGGGTCATCCTCCCATTGACCATCAATGTAGGGAACATTCTTCTCACCGATCACCAATGTAAGGAGCATTCTTCCCAATAATCACCAACATAAGGAGCATTCATCCTATTGACCACCAATGTAAGGGGCATTCTTCCTACAGACCACCAATGTAAGGAGCATTCTTCCCACTGACCACCAATGTAAGGAGCATTCTTCCTACTGACCACCAATGTAAGGGGCATTTTTCCCACTAACTCCCAATGTCAGCAGCATTCTTCCCACTGATCATCAATGTAAGGAGTATTCTTCCCCAATGTAGGGGGCATTTTCCCCACTGACAACCAATGTAAAGGGGTCATCCTCCCGTTGACCATAAATGTAGGGAACATTCTTCTCACTGATCACCAATGTAAGGAACATTTTTCCCTATGATCACCAATGTAAGAGGCAATCTTCCCACTGACCACCAATGTAAGGGACATTCTTCCCACTGACCACCATTTTAGGGGGCATTCTTCCCACTGATCACCAATGTAAGGGGCATTCTTTCCACTCCAGTAGATCATTTCACAAAATCAATAATCATGAAATAAAACAGTGTCTCTAGGGGTCTATAGAAAAAATGTTGCTGTGTGAATTTCTTGGGCTTCATATACTCATGAACTCACCTAGTTGTTAAAATCTCCTGGCAGCAGAAAAACACTTAACGCAGCAAAAACGCAAGTAAACACAGTACCGCGTTTAGCTGCGTTTAGTACTTGCATGTTTATGCATTTGACTGGCCAGAGTATTTTTCATTGACATGGATAAACGCTCAAGCGCTAAACTCGGTTAGAGTTTAGCCGTGTTTACACGTGTTTAGCGTTTTTTGGCCAAAATGTTCCTCTCCTGAACGTGATTATTTTACGTTCAGAAGAGGAACATTTAACTGGCCCTAAACTCTGCTGCTCCTAAACTCTGGTTAAAGCCTATGTGTACATGGACATATAGGCTTTTATTGAGTTGAGTTCAGGGGCTTTGGCAAAAAAAAGCCAAAAACTCCTAAACTCAAGTTTAGGAGCAGCAGTGTGCATGGCGCCTTAAGCATTAGGGCCCAACAAAGGAGAGCTGCATTGTTTGTAAAATAATTATCTCCTAAGCTCCATCTAGGCGCCATATTGTGTTTTTTTTTTAGGTATTTCAGGAAAATGCTGCATTATATCAACTAGATGGAGCTGACAGTCATAGGAGACAATGATATGCGGTGATCATTTGCTACACGTGTGTGAATGCCTAAGAAATCAACACGGTACATTTTTTTTGTACATGGACCCCCATGTTTGAATTCAGCACAATCTCTCAATCATGTGTGATCTTAACTGCACTCTGCATACTTTGCCCCCCCACTTCTCCTTTATTCATGTTCTGGAAAGGCACTTTCTGATTATATTACCTTCCCACAACAAAAAGGTATTCAAGCCTAATGGACAACATGTATACATATGTAGCGCTACCCCCATAGGAGCTTCTGGTAGGATTAGGTACTCTGCTCATTTTCTGGCCCTAGCCGAAGCCTCACACTTACTGACACCACTAGAATAGCTTAGCTGGGAACACCCAGCAGTCACACAGGAATGGCACACACAGGTTGTTTTGAGGAAAACAGTCTGAACTGGCAAACCAAAGTAGAAAAGAAACACAGTAAATCAGTAATTCAGCAATAACACATAAGAAATCAGTGCAATAACTGATACAATGCAGTGACTCTGGTACCCCTAGGAGAAAATTTGGTATGTACTGCAGTAGCCCTCTGCTAAAGAGATTATGCCTCAAGTGAATGAGAATGATTAACAAAATATGAGATAGATTAGCTCATTTGAGGATTCTTGGACCAAAGCGACTAGGCTTAGGATTGACAGTTTAACACACTTCTCCCAACCCAATTCTGCCTCTAGATAGACCAAAAAATCTGGATAGTTGTGACTGTTAGCTTATGCTGGCTCAGTTGGGGCCCTTTAATGTTGGTGTGCATAAACTGTTGTGTTTTGTGGGACAAAAAGTTCAGGGACATATAGTTATCCTTAGCCAGAGGGTGTGCCCTTTTAAGAATGGCAGCATGATGTAGGTTCATGCATGAAATTGGGGATGTAGTGTGAACAGGGGATTAAGAGGAGTTAAGTTCAGGTTTCTGTTCAGCACTTGTAGTATGGAAAGTGGGCATAGACAAAGTCAGCAGTCTGGGAAGATAATAGTGACAATTGTCTTTGGCCTTAGGGTTTCCTGCTGCCAGTGTGAAAGGGCAGCAATACAGTACTTTGTTCCCTTTTAGAGAAACTGGACAAATGCAGGGAGAAGGTACCCCTGAATATGAGTAGCGGGCTGAACAGGTGCAGCTGGCAGTGGTTCTGGATAATGACCACACCACCTAGGGTAATCTAAGTGGCTCGGAATTTGGCTTAACTGTCCGTCCTTAAAGCTCCGGCTTGGCCCTGTTGGGTGCAGTCCAGCCCGAGCTGGTCAAATTCAGCACAGCATGGCACAGCTCTCCCATCCTTGTTTCCAGTTGACTTGTCTCTCTCCAACTGCCCTGGCTCCTTCCCAGGCTTTTTCCCCTTGGCTGTTGCTTGTCGGCCTTGTAGTAGTGACTTCAGCTTTATTGTATGTAAAGTCCTCCTTCAAGACTACATCTCCTAGAATGCTCTGAGTACTTGCATTAGGGCTATGGCAAGGCGAAGTTCTGAATGCTGCTATCTTGTGGGCAAATAAAGTTCTGTGCCATCAGTAACAATGCCCAGTGCTAAACATACATTGGTCCTAGCTGGGCAAAAGTACAGGGAAAATCTGCTATACCTAAACTTTAGTTTCAAGCTCTTGATATGGACTCTAACCTTAACATAATGTAATGGTATTCATGCCTAGTGATATTCAGGCACCTGGCATTGTGTCGTACCAGGTATTTCACCTTATGTAAGGTAGGCAAACAGTATGGCAGGGGAGCAAGATTGAATTTGAATGTAAGCATCAGGGAAGCTATTGCCTACCTTAGATGTCCTAGAGTAGTCTTAGCTGTCCTGGAGTGGCCCTAGATGTCATGGAGTGGTCCAAGATATCCTAGAGTAGCCCTAGATGTCTTGAAGTAGCTTTAGATGTCCTAGAGTAGCCCTGAATGTCAGGGAGTAGTTATAGATGTCCTGGAGAAGCCTTTGGTGTCCGGAAATGGCTGCAGATGTCCTAGAGAAGCCCTAGATGTCCCAGAGTAGCCCTAGATGTCCTAGAGTAGTTCTAGATGTCTAGAAGTAGCTTTAGATGTCCTAGAGTAGCCCTGAATGTCCAGGAGTGGTTCTAGATGTCCTGGAGTAGCATTTGATGTCATGGAATGGCTACAGATGTCCTAGAGAAGCCCTAGATGTCCCAGAGTAGTCCTAGATGTCCTAGAGTAGTCCTAGATGTCTTACAGTTGACCTAGATGTCCTAGAGTAGCACTTGAACTTATCTGCGATTACTAATACATTAAATGTTTCTTTCTCCCTCACAGACCAGCTGTATTTGGAATATGTCAATTGTGAAGGTTCTTCGTGTACTTTTGCTTCATGTGGCTTTAGTGACTGCAGAAGTACAGATAAATAAAGACCCCGATACGGGTGCCTATGCAATCATCACATGTGGAGCTCCTGGGAAGGATGGTCTACCAGGAAAGAATGGGACAAATGGAGCGAAGGGAGAAATCGGTGAGCCAGGTAAGAATAAACACAATTTACAAGTTGTAGCCCAATACTTCACCAGGTGGATTCTGGAGAGCTGGGAACTCCCTAGACTTTTTCTGAAAGTATTACACAAAGACATTATTTAGCAGGCTCACACTTAACAATAGCCATAGCAGCCCACATAGTTGCTTTGGGGCCTGAGGGTGGAAGTTTTAGAGAAATGTAAACATAGAAAATCTGTGTGTGCGTAGAGATAATTCAGATTTAGCACTGAAACTTTAAGGATTGCAGAAATTGCTGCTGACTGTGATGCTGGATCCCATGTGACATTTCCAATCAAGAAGAGCTGAAGTCAATAATACAGTAAGACGTAGGCAGAATTTGACTACCTCTCTTGTAGGCTTCTTGTCCTCAGAGCTTCTAGTCATCAAAGCCAGCACTGAAGTTAACCATGAATGACTAATATAGTCTTCTTCAGGCTGTAGAGTGTCTCCTCAGTTAAAAACTAACATGTCTTCAGACATGTCTAGTACATCCAATGTCTGAAGTGGCTAAACTGTTTCAGTAGGCTGTGGGCATTTGTGTAACTGATTCCCACCTGGCCGTCATTATACAATAGGACATTCTGTCATTCTTGGAGGATGTCCTATAAGGTCCTCCCATTCTTGCCGATCAGTGGAGAGCTGTGTCTCTCGAACACAGCCAGCGCACCATCAAACAGGTTAAAGAGCCAATGACGTTGGTTCTTTACCGTGTGATCAGCTGTGTCCATTCACAGCTTATCACATGTAAACAAATGCTGGTAATCAGCATTTCCTTTCCTCAGCGCTGTTACTGTCTGAGGAAAGGAAAACCAATAACCAGCTTTTCTGTGACAGAGGGCATTCACACTAATTTTCAGTGCAGCCCCATCAGTGCAGCATATCAGTTCCCATCAGTCCCCATCAGTGAAGCCCCATGAGTGCAGTCTATCAGTGCCCATCAGTGCAGCCCCACCAGTGCAGCATATCAGTGCCCATCAGTGCAGCATATCAGTGCCCATCAGTCCCCATCAGTGAAGCCCCATGAGTGCAGTCTATCAGTACGCATCAGTGCAGCCCCAACAGTGCAGCATATCAGTGCCCATCAGTGCAGCATATCAGTGCCCATCAGTCCCCATCAGTGAAGCCCCATGAGTGCAGCCTATCAGTGCCCAACAGTGCAGCCCCACCAGTGTAGCATATCAATGCCCATCCTTGCAGCATATTATTGCCCATCAGTACATCATATCAGTGCCAATCAGTCCCCATCAGTGAAGCCCCATCAGTGCAGCCTATCTGTTCCCATCAGGGCAGCCCCACCTGTGCAGCATATCAGTGGCCATCAGTGCAGCATATCAGTGAAAATCCTTGCAGCCTATTAGTGCCCATCAGTACAGCATATCAGTGCCACCTATCAGTGCCCATCAGTGCCGACTCATCAGTGGCCGTCAGTGCTGCCTCGTCAGTGCTCATCAGTGCAGCCTATCAGTGCCCATCCTTGCAGCCTATTAGTGCCCATCAGTGCAGCCTCATCAGCACACATCTGTGAAGAAGAAAAATTACTAATTTGCAAAATCTTATAACAGAAACGAAGAAAAAGGTTTTTTGTTTTCAAAATTTTCAGTCTTTTTTCGTTTGTATAGCAAAAAATAAAAAAAAACCCAGTGGTGATTAATTACCGCAAAAAGAAAGCTCTATCTGTGTCAAAAAAATTATAAAAATGTCATTGTCATTTAAAGTGCGACAGCACTGAAAGCTGAAAATTGGCCTGGGCAGGAAGAGGGTGCAAGTGGCTGGTATTGACGTGGTTAAAAGGGATTTGGGCAGTTGTAGGGTTGCCT